TGATGATGTCCTTAAGGTGAGGATGTGTTGCAGAAGTTTACTTTCATTCCATTTAACACATGGAATGCGTTGCTGTAAAATCTCCCAAAGAATCTCTCGAAGCTTCTTGCAAGACATTCCAACTCACAAGCGATAACAATACAATACATTTTGGGCAAATCATGTGGGCAAGGGTGTGAAATGTTTCGAAAACTATTCAAAAAGGCATCCCACACAACTACTTGCGCCTATGCAGGAAATAACTCTTGTCGCCGACAACTTCTCGCGGCAATTTATGCGGAAAGTTAATAGGCGATTGGTGGGAAAATTTATTATGTGTGTAATTCCGCAGGAGAATTTATAGCTTCCGTCTTCTTGGCAATCTCCTTCTCTGTCTCTCAGCACCTTGTGTCAACTTCACCCATATAGTTAGTGTTGAGGAAAAGGAGTTGAGAAATTCTTGGAATTTGGTTAATTTCACTTCTTTTCCATCTCATTTTCCCTGCAATTTTTTTGCCATCGATACACAAAGCTAGTGGAAATGTGTTTGCGGTGATGTGAAGTGCCAGAAAGAGGATGGAAAATCAAAGGGAAATTAAATTAATAGTGTCGTAATCACATCTAAAGGCTCGTCGCTCTCTCTCTCTCTCTCTTTGCTCACCACAAACGTTAATCCAATGTAATTCTGTCCGAATTTAATGAACAGAATTTTCTGTAATCTTCAGGCACATCAGGCAGAGCTATGTGGAACAGAACAAGCCACTATGTGGTGTGCCTTTGAGACGCAAAAGATAGGATTATGAATTAAAGAGGAAAGGCATGGGCTTAGCCTGCTTCCAAACACCTCATGACATTTTCACTACGAACTTGTCCAGGCTTATGCAGATCCTAATCAAATTGTCCAGTGTTTCTCAATATAAGAACATCTGCAGGACCTTTCCCAGGATAATTGGCTTAAAGGTTTTTGAGGGTGTATATGTGTGTTTATACCGCATAATCAAGAGAAGATTTCTGGGGAAAATAGCCTGCGGTTTCTTTTAAATTGGAAGCTTTTACACACACCTTAAGAAAGTAATTGAGCAATCAAAGAAAATACTCCACTAGAAGTTCTTTCATATGTTTATGCCTAGTTTCCACTCGTGAATTTCCTGAGTTGAAAAGTACATTCTCGAGTAGCTCGTAATAATCATCATTTGAAGGCCATTACGATTGGAAGTGGCAGCAAAAGGCCACAAATGAGTTGGCAATTTTATTGGCTGAATCAAGTAAATGTGGAAATATATATATATATATGGAAAATTTGACTTGGTGGGTAAAAAAGGCTTCCGCGGAAGCTTTGGCTGCTTTAGGCAAAAATCGTGCACTCTTCTTTATCGATTGTGGCGGTGGAAAATTGCGAAAATACTCTCTCGCTCGCAGCTATTGACTTTGTAATTTCTCCCTCACCACTGACACACTTGCGGTTACAAAGTATATTATTTCAATTGGATGAAATTATTCTGCTGGAGAAACCTGCAATTTTGTCGCTTTTTTTTGTTCATCCGCAAGTGCCAGAGGAAAAATAAGGGGAAAAAAAAGCGACGAAGAAGGAGGAAAATTGAGATGAGCAAATTGCAGAGTCGAAAATTCTCTTTTTTACAACTGTAAAATGTTTATGGGTGAGAAAAGCAGGTGTCCATTAATTTAATTACACTATTAAAATATAATCAGATAAGATCATTTGTACTATCTAAAATTATTCTAGAGACACTGCGGGTATATGTGTGTGCTTTCAGGCATTTGGGAGAGAAAGATGACTAACAGAAACACTTTGTATGACAAGGAATTTCATTAATATAATTGCATGAGACTTGAGCTCGTGTAATTAATGCGGATGTGCCCGGACATAAAATTAGGAGTACTTTCATTTCACTGTGTGTTAAAACCACTCACAAAATTTTTCACTCTGTCTCACTCTCACTCACATCTCTTCCCATCCATATTGCTCTCTCTCTCCTGAGCCCACCACCCGCAAAAAAGGTATAATGATGAGCATTTTCCCACAAGTGGAGAGAGCATTAAAGTTCCTCAAGCACCGTCGTTGTAAAAGCGTTCCGTTGAAATCTCAATTTTTCTCAAAAATTTCCCACTACACGTGCGATTGATGCTCTGAGTCTGTGTCGGAAAATTACATCCATTTTAGTGGTCGATACACCAATACGGCGGACTAATCTTCGCCATTGAGTAAATGATGGCCCAGAGAGAAGATAATTTAGTCGCATGCAAAGAATTAAGCTCATATGTGAGTCCCATTCTCTACGTTCTGGGGCAGGACAATAGAGCCGATTAATGAAACGATAGCACCTCTTTCGCATTGTAGAGCCCGTCCTCGAAATCCGATTGAGGCAGTCGCAATGGTTTCCCCAGAAAGGATACTTTGGGTGCTATGACATTTGATTTTATCACTCATATGCTCATCCTTTTCATAACACTATACACAATTTCCTGGGCAATCCTGGAATATACGCTTTGCTTAATTCTCAAAATGTGGTGCATAAAAAGCTTTATCTCAGAAATTGCTGCTTTTCAAATTCTCCACTTCGTCCTGCAGATTTCAGTGTTTTTGTCCACTTTAAATGAATCCTTGAAAGAGTTTTTTCCCTGTAATTTTGTCTATTTTTGAGGTGGGCGAAACCGATATCAATAATCTCTTCACCGAAAGACGTGTTCTGGCGCCCTTAAGTAGGCTACACTCATAGAGAGTCATAAGAAGCGCCGCCATTTTGAAGAAAAAAACTTTGAACGCCTGTATCTCGGCAACTTGACTGTGCATTTTCTTTAAATTTTGGTATGTCGCAGTCCAGGTCAGGACGTCTCTAAAAATAGGTTATAACTTTTTATTGAAGCAATAGAACCAAAGTTATGACGGTTTAAAGTTTTAATCTTGTTTCTACTATAACTTCGGTTCTATTTATCCGAATTTAATAATTTTGGATTCGTTGGAAAGCTCTAGCAAACACCTACAACTACTTAGAATATTAGAAGTTCGTCTGACCACTCAATCTATTTTGTAAGAATTTTTTGAATACTTTGATAGTCCAGATTGAGACGTTTCCAAAATCATTTCGAGTTTATTCCGTCGCTCAGCTCACTCAAGTCTTGGCGTTCGCTTATCACGTCCTTTAAACTGCGGAAATCCTTGCCAACTTTCCATAATTTCTTCGCTTTCTTTCTAACTCTGTATAAACTTGCTGAAGAACTCAATTCCTTTGTTGGTATGAAAAAAACATTTGGTGTAAATACCTGGAAAAGTTTTCCTGCTAATTGTGCGAAAGTTGAGGGATGAATTCAGCGTGTGTGTGAGTGTTGAATTGCTGACACAGAAATGCGCGATGGTGTCAGGAGAAGAAAGGTCAAGCGCTGCGTGATTTTCAACAATTCAATTATACGAAATGGAAAATCCATTTGAATAAATATGTTAACGGGAGCCACCGCGGGGGCGAGACGCCCGGTGGGATCTGAGTGAGAGGGCGAAATTGAGCTATTTCAGTCACTCTCCCTTGTCTCACCAGTTACACTTTCCCCATTCATGGCATGTCGAGGACTCATATACAAATTGAATTTTGTGCCTTGGCGAAATTCTCTTTTTTTCTCTGTGCATGTGACACACATAATCCGTCTAATATAAATCTTGTGATATAAATACGCAACGGAGAAACATTTATTAATTTTATTTGCATTCTCCGCCCAGCACTTCCCTACTCTATATTGTATATGTGGAAGGGTGTGAGCGTCGCACCAGGCGTCTCCACTGGCAGTGGAGTCGCCTGGTAGGAAAGTTTGCAATTTGCCTGGGGCAAGAAGAGCGACTCTCTGCTGAGTTGCCCACTTCATTTTCCACACCATGATTGATGAAGTCCTCCACGGTAAAAAGTGCGGAGAGCAGAGACGCCAGGTGGGTGGACTGTAATCTCCCACACGTAGAATTTTACCACTGAGAGAACTTTACTTAGGCAAATCCTGGGCGCTCATGTGGGTATTAAATAACATGTGAGCTTGCATGTACTAAAGGACTTTGGGGACGCTCGCTGGTCAATCTGTGTGTGTGTGTGCTGGTTATTGGGACTGACAATTTATTGCACAACACACAACTCTCCTCTCTCTCTGACTCAACCACCATCGCAACCCTCCACGTCTCATGATTTTGTTGTTAAGCAGCTTCTGCATGAGAGCAAGATTCTTCCCGCACAGAGTGTGAGCTCGATGTCTGTGAACGAGCACATATGCTCTCTCTGCACTCTCATCCTTTTTAAGTCGTATTTCCTGGTGCTGACTCATAAAAGTACACCACTGACCCCCCAAAACTACCCACATCGCCCTCATTTTCTGCCGCCTGTATGATTTAAAGAGGTCTGTGATTTAGTGTCGTGTGAGATTTTATAGTGACCACGAAAATAGAAAAGTCACTAGCATGGTGATTTCGTATGGCGAATTGACTAAACGAGGAGGACAGCAATGAATTGCACGGACAAAGACAACCACTCAGCAAATTTTTAAAAAAGGCTTTAATTGTGAAGAGTCAGCTTTTGCGTGAAGAGACTCTTGAAATTACTCAAAATTTCTCTGTACAAAAAATGACATATATTACGTATATAATTCTCTGAATTGAAAGTAACAGAGAGCTAAATAAATACATAATTATATAGTAGGATTTTCTGCCACTCTTAGCGTGTGATATGGAAATGTTGGGCTGATTTTCGTGCACACGAAGGCGTTTTCGTTCTGGATTACAAAGAGAGAAAAAAAAACAAAAAATCAACTCCCAACACGTGAAACGATTCATTTGAATCTATTAAAATTAAATTGTATTTACAATAAATTGTATTTACAGTTGACTGAACCATTGCCTTTCGTCTTTTTTTTATAATTATTATACCCGCACACGTGTAACTGAAGCAACATTATACACACGAATTCTTGCGACGAAAATGGATTTTAGCATGATTTTCTCTCTCAACTCTTTCTCTCTTTCTCTGTTTCAGTGTCGACAGCGAGTGTTGAGGCAGTTCTGGGAAAAACCGCCTCACTCCCATGCGACATCGAGCCCGAGGCGAGGGATGATAGGGTGTACATGGTGCTGTGGTTCAGAGAAAGTGCCGGAAAACCTCTCTACAGGTGAGACATTCTTCCCGACACACATCAAAGGGGCACTTGGGGAGCCCACTCTCTCTCTCTCTCTTGCCCAAGATCCTCTCGCAAGGAACCGTTGTGGGCATTTTCTCAAGAAGATGTGCGCCTGGAGAGTGGGAAGATAAATTAATTACCAGTAATTCAATTATGATTGAACTGGTTGGGCGGGTGAATTGGAGGGATGTCTAAATATTTGTAGCTTCAGCCACAACAGAAAGGACTTACTCCAAATTGATGACCACACATTTCCTCCCCAAACAATTCACTTTATTTCTGAATTAGGGAAATTCACTTTTGCACATTTCTTACACATCATCCCATCTACTATCGTCTGATAAATTATACATGAAATCACGCAGACTAATGTTTTCTTAATACACCCTCATATTATTCTTCTTGTGATGGGAAATCCAGTGTTGATCAATATTCATATTCATTTGCAATTTGTCACAGAAACCATCAGAGAAAAATTGCATTAAAGAACTTTGAGATGCAAATATTTGCATTAAATCACTTTAAACTACAATAATTATCCTCATTTGCAATTGTGCTGCGTAGGACGTTGCGAATGGTGACAAATCACTCGTGACATTTGAAACGAGGAGCTCTTAAGTTCACCCAATGTATATGATATATACACACATATGCATAGCGATGTATAGCGATGTCTTATATTGGTTGTAAGTCAAGAGGTATAACTCATATTGAGAGAATTTCCGCATTACTTAATTGTAAACATTGCTGTGAGCAACAACAAGTAAATTTTGGAGTGCAATCTGTTCGTTAAACACAAATATAAATATATATTATACACACATCATGTATATTATGTTTGGGGTGGCATAGATGTTTAATGCATTGCTGCCACCCGTGCAGTGCTGCAGCATAGAATATGCCTCCGGGACGGCTGTTCTACAGACTCCACAAGATGGAACAGAGAGGCAAACGGCACAGCGAGGAGAGTATATTGCAAACTGATATATTTGTACCTCAATACATCTCTTCGCCCACCCCCGCATGTTCGTTTGTTTACCCACCAAAATACACTCATGTAATCAATAATGAATCAATTCATCTCATACGATCAAACACATCTGGGATGCTTGTCAGCCCACTCCTGTTCTGTGCCAATGCTCCGGCCCAATTTTCCCCAAGTCATCACGATCAACTGTGGGGGATGTTGCAGGGTATGAAACAATTTGTATTTGCACACAAACTATAAGTGCCACACCGACTCGTGCTTGCTTAATCAATATACCACTAAAATAATAATTAATTACTCAAGTGTCCGGAACACAGGTTCAACCATACACCAAAATTTCCCACACAAATGCTCTTTAGTGTGCCATATTTTTCAATTCACGGCCTTTTGCTGCTTTAGAATACCATTTGAGGTATCAATTAAATTTATTAGAAATTGTTCTCTATGTCGAAAATGCGCCACAAAAGGTACAAGAAAATATCAGCAAAGGTGAATGCTCAGGACGTATTTGAAGATATGTGGTCACAGATTCCAATTGAATGTACACATTTATGCAAATGGTCAATGGTTGGGGTGAAATCGATAGTCAAAGATGGAATATTCAAAGAGATTCAATGACCTCCATGAACCTGTAATTTGCAATAGTATTTCAAGATGGAATGGATGATTTCACATTGAAATTCTGCGTCTCATATCAATTTCATATTGCTTCACATCGATCAAGGGGGAGATAATACAACCAGATGTTGTGTACAACTCAGCAAAGAGTGTGAAGTGTTCAGAAACATTCAATATTCCTTTTCTGAGCACTTCTTTTACTGATAAATTCTTCAGAATCTTTGGATTTCCTTCAATTTTTACGCAGAATCAATGATAAAAATATTTTTCTAGGTTATGTAACGAATCAGGGGCAGTTTCAGTGAATAATTCGCATTCTAACACATTAATTCATTAGCAAAATTAAGCATTTGCATGCAATAAACACTATTCTGATTTTTTGTTGCCAAAAAAACACTGCAAATTGCTTTGAACTCGAACATAACCTCAAAAATAGTCATTTGGGCTTAGAAAATGTTTATTTAGATCATTTTCTGCACAATTTTGACTCTAAATAAGAAATTTTGAGATGATTTTGTGATCTAGAAAGCTTCCAAACTGAGCTTTTGAAGAATTTTTAGTGATATTTTGAAGTTATGGTCGAAAAATATGTCCAAAACAGCGTATTTCAGTGTAGAATCACTGTAAAAACTTCAAATTCTTAAAACAGGCAAATTAAGAAGTGTTTGGCTTACAGTTTTACAGCGTATTATCTCCCCCTTCATATCGATAATTGATTGAGAATTGAAAGAAAAATACGTGATAAAAGGAATCAAACAGATTTTTCAAGTGAGTAGACTTTGAGGGTAAATTTATCTGCAGCTGAAATTCATATCTAATTGAATTTCAAGTTTTCCACGACTTTTTCATTGAAGCCATGCATACAGAATGCTGACATTATTCCTCTCTTCGTCCATTCTGGTGTTTGAAGGTGGAGCAAAAAGCTTCTGTGGAGTCATCCAAAGTGGACCAGAAAGTATATTTAAGGACAGATTATGTCACATCATAATGGATTACAGTGTCAGGTGGAAAAATATGTGAATTGAGAACGGGCAACGTAGTGGTAATATTTCACCCCACGTAAAGTTATGACGTTGAGATTCTCGTAGATTTAGAAAATTGACCCTTAAACGTTGCCTGCGCTTTAGTTGCGGAATCTCCAACTATAAAGACTGCATCCACACTCTTTTTTTTTGGCGGGCAGCACCGCATTTTCCGGACTGTTGGACGGGCAGTTGCGGGCAAATTGAAAATAAACAAACTCATGAGTCATCAAATAAACCTCCTCCCCTTTCCTGGTCCACCACCACCGGGCGGTGGGGTGTGTTTGTATTCAATGCAAATCAATATGAACATTGGGCGTGTGACACGGTTTGAAAAGTAAAAAGAGATACAATTAGATGGGATTTTTTGCCGTTGTCCTATATTTTGGTTGCATTTCCAACTCGAAATGTCTGTGGAAAAACGTGAGTCAATTATATTTTTTCCCCCAATTGTGTGTGTGTGTGTGTGTGTCGTGAATTAAAACCAGCAAATTGAATATTTCGCACCAGAGACTCCCTGTGGAAAATTCCCCATGCAAAATTATTTATGATGATGATTTAAAAGCTGTACACGGTGAGATGGGTTTCGGGGTGGCAACCATTCACACAAGGCATCCATCGTCAATTTTGGGGCCAAGCGTGAGCGAGAGAGCGAGTTTCTCGTGTGGATGCCAGTGTGGATTTTCAACCGCAGCCCATCCACGATCCAACCCCATTTCGGCGCCCCTTTCCCCACGCTCCCCAACCCCTTCGCCGAGGGTGCACGGGGTCTGGGGGGTGGTGCCTTGAATTCAAGAGCAGCGGCCCAGAGTGGCAGCGATGGGTGACAAAATTGGATTCGGGGGAGAGAGTGCGATGTCCATGAACAAGCCAAAATTGGTTCCATCATAGAATCATCACATACTGTTAGTTTGCACATCAGTTCAACGATAATTTCCGCCACAGCTCCGCCCGCCGCGAACGCCATCAATGCGAAAACCATCTCAGTTCATGACCCGGAACTCGGGAATGTGTTTGGTAGTCTGTGTATGACTCCGAAAATTAGTACAATTTTGCCGACACAGCAGTGATTTTGTACACAGAACATTTACAATATAATAATATTTGTTTGTGCAGCTCACGGAGGAAGGATTTTTCATCGTGACTCCGCACGTTCGTTTTTTACATTGGGCTCTGCTGAACTTCCGCATGCCCAAAATACTCACTCTCACCCCCTATCGTAATTCCACCACCATCGAAAGCCATCTCACATTGCCATGAGGACCACAAGAATGGGAAATGACTGTGATACAAATCGTCATTTTCCACCTCATTTTCCCTCAAATCTGATAATCATTTTGGCAACCAATGCGAGAACCTTCAAAAGTGTTTGCTTATGAAAATATATGCAAATTGCCACGTTCACTATCGCAACTGATGAAGGAGAAGCACTTAAAGCTTGCAAAAATCAACGATTTCTCAGTCAATTCGCTAATAGATAATAGAGAAAATTCAATTCAAAGGGTGATTAGAAAATCCATGAAAAGTCAAAATTGCAATTTTGACAATTTTTGGGATGAAGTTTGTCGAATTTTAATTCAAACACCCGCTAATAATTATTTTATTAATGTTTCTGTTAATTTTATTGAGATATTATTAGAATTTTGATTAAAATATTGCAAAGATAATCTATAAACAGGAAATATTAGTGTCAAAAAGTAGATTTTAAACAGATTTGAGTACATTTTGTCCAAACCAATTGTATGAAATCAATTTTTAATCATTTTCATTAACTATTTCAAAGTTTTTTTTAATAGAAATTTAAAAATATACGATATTTACTCATTTAAAGTCTTTCAAAGAGAAATTGATGTTCGTAAATAATGAAAAGTTGATTTTTAAGAAAATTTTTAACATTCGGGTTTTTTTATAAATTATAATTCTTACTATTTCTCCGTAAAATACAAATTTCAATTTTTTTTAATAGGTAAACAGACAAAAAGCCATACAAAACCCGTCGAATTGACTTTGCCAGAGTTTGAATTTATTGAATCATTCATTGCAATTTGAATAAATTTTTTTTGAAAGTTTTTTCGTCATGACTGTGTAATTTATGGAATTTTTTTCCTCTTCAAAATATCCACTTTAGTTCTCTTCTTGCGTGGCTGTGAATACTTCCTACAAGATTAAATGCAAGACTCTGGCAGCAATACTTTAACGAGCTTTCCACTCTATCAATAAGCTTCAAGACTTGTTCGCCGTATGGCTGAAAGAGTGTTTCTTCAGCACTATCACTGCGAGCGTGGAGAAATTCTGCCAGTGCGACACAATATAGCGTTTTAAGTATAAAATTCGATTAGCAGCTTCCGTGGAGGCATGAATGA